CACACACACACACACACACACACACACACACACACACACACACACAAAATACAGACATGCTAGATTATTAGCTAGCCAAAAAAAATAACAAAAATGGCTCCTTCACAAATGTGACATTCCTACCCAAACTGTAATATGAACTATATGCATGTTCTCACCTATAATGGCCCTTTTTGGTAAGCAGCTCCTTGAACTGGCCCAAAGTCACCACACGGCCTTTGACTGACGTTCGGTATGGGATTGGCTCTCCACAAAAGTAGTAAGCGACCGTCATGTTCTCACACACTTGGCGTTTACCAGACTTATGCCTGAAAGAGAGCAAGAGCCATGTCAAAAACGCTCAAATAAGAATACATTTAAAAGATTAAAAGATATCTTGGCCATGTCACATAATCGACCTGGCGCCTACCTCTGCTTGGCCTGCTGTAGTGCGTTCCTCCTCCTCTCCTCCTCCAGTCTCCTCCTAGCCTCCTCCAGCTGGGTGAGGGGGTTGGGAGCCGGGTTGGGGGGCATAGCTGGGTCCTGGATAAAAGGGTGCGAGGGCTGGACCTGGGTGGACGTTGAGCCGGGGATGGCGGGGGCCACTGAGGAGGGGTTGTTACGCAGCTGGGCGGAGACCCACGGGTGCACGGCTCCAGGGCGCTCCACCGACGTCGGGTGCGGTGACTCGCTGCTGGGTCCCGTCCTCCTCGAGCTACTGGTGCTGCCGCTGGAAACACAAGGAGAGAAGGAAGCAGGATGAATACTGGTAAATCATCATTAATATATATTAATAATTATTCTTAAAGATTTATATTAATCATGAGTAATACACGTCATATCACTCACCCGTGTGAGGTCTTCCTTTGTCTGTCTCCTTCCATCATCCACTGCAGGATCTTCTGGTTTCTCTCCAGGTCCTCCAGCGGTACCTGGCCCTCCACGCCCCGCCCACTCTCCTCTCCTTTGCCCGACGTCTCCGACGTCTTCTTACAACCTCGCCGTGATAGCGTGCTGCCTTTACTACTGCGGAACGAACAGGCGACACATACAGTTGAGGTCATCCGCAGTAAAAACAGCACATGCAGTAACACCGAACAAATGTCGGCACGTTCGACCCCGCTGGCCTACCTGTAGCCCATGCCCTCGAGCGTGCTGGCTCCAGCCCCGTCGGCGTAGTTGCGACTTCTCCCTGCGTACTGGCCAGCCGGGTCTCCGTTCCACATGAGGTTGGCCTGAGACCTAGAGCCCGCCTCCTCCGGCCCTTCTCTTCCTCTGTGGTGATACGGCTGCTTGTGATGATGCATACCTGAGACAGACGTCACAGCCAGTTATTGGTAACATGCTAGCCTCTGTTCAATACATCGCACGAAAAGCACACTACGATGCAGCTTAATTTGACGTCTGCGATGGCATGGGAAAAATGCATTTGAAGCATAATAGAGCACAAACTATAAAATTCGGGACTCTTTTTGTGTTATAACACATGATTCAACACCCGAAGAGCAAAACTTTCCAGCTATGGCTCACCAGGAAATGGTTTTAATAATGTCTTTGTTAATCCAGAACTGTGGCTTGTCGAGATCTTCTTCTGTACTTAAGCAGGGGTTGACAAAAAGGATCGCCTGCTTGTATAACAAGCTTTCATTTTTTTTTTTTTTTTTTTTTAAACATCTAAAAAATTCCCCAAAGGAGAGTCAACTTAGGCTGGCGGAAATCCTGAGGACGAAACTCCAGATTTATTTACTTAAATAAAGATAAAACAATTACCTTTGGTCTATGTTATTATCTGATAACTGCTTATAAGTAATTGATGCTACGATCGAGTCCGTCCTGCTGTTGTAAACATTCACGAGAGCAACAAATGTGTATTCATCCTGTTCTGGTGCGAGTTGCCGAGTCTTGAAGATATCGACCATAGAGAAGCTCCGCCTTCTCTTGAATATTATGGAACTAGATGTCACTCGGCTTGATACTGCTAGCTCACCTAGCATCGTTGAGCTAACGCTAAGAAGGATTGACCCCGTGCCAGGTATGTTTCCATGTTTAAAATCTTACCTTTGACCCCAGCAGGAGGCAGACTGTGACCCCTCCCTGGGGGGCAGTGAGGCGGGCCGATCCCGCCGTCAGGTGACCGTGATGATTTGGGAGGAGATTGCCGACCCCCTCCTCCTAAGGTGCTGTTGGTGGCCCCTGGCGACTGGCAGCCCGGCGTTTTCATCACGCGCTGCACGTGCTCGTCCAAGATGGATTCCGGGTCGTCGTCTTGGGAGTCCTCCATGGCCACCAGGCCGCCGTAAGTGGCGACTGCCGGGTTAGCAGTGGTCTCTGAGTAGCGGGCGCCGTAGAGAGGAGGAAACGACGAGGGGAGGGGGAGTGGTATGCTGTGAGAGGACACGGAGGCCGCCACGGAGACGTCAGCATCATCACCTTCTTCTTCCTGTTGGGAGGAGGAGGAACGTGTTACACCTCTAACTGCACATACACATTGTATAAACTAGTAAGTACAAAGACAGACATCAATAACTGCCCTTACCAAAACTATTACGTGCAGGTACATTTCAGACAAATAATGCAAAAATGATTTGGTTATTTCTTATTAAAAATAACCTAATTCACATTTTTCTAGACTTTTATCCATCACTTGGGAGGAAAAGTGTGTTTAGACAAACACATAGAAGCACAACAGCAAAAGTGCACAAGCCATGCATACTCAAATTAACGTCAAACGCTCCATGACGTAAGTCCTACGGCTATGTCCAACAACAAAGATGTCCCCCCCTGTTCGAACTGCAGTCATGCTGCTCCCGTGGCGTTTCTGCATTATCACCGTTCTGCAGGTTTTGCAAACTTAAAACAAAAGCTTTGTGTACAACGCACGAAGCTGGGCTTAAAAAAGGCAGGAGTGCGGGAAAACCCCCCAAATTGAGACACATATTCCGAATGCACTCAAAGAATGTTCCTGAAACTGGAATAATATCTGCATGTCCCACACGTCTTAACTGGAAAATGCTGCATAAAGAATAAGGTAGAAATGAACGTGTGCATCCCGGCCATTGTCAAGTTCTGAAATCCTAGTGCACTCTCTCCTTTGAGACGATTTGCACCAACCAGTTTCTCATAAATAACAAAATACTTGCACTCATAATTCAAGTATTACTGAGGAAACAACAACATCCCCATTGTGTAAATAACTGGGATGAATTACAGCTGAACTCAGTGTCCGAATTGCATCACATCATGTGCAAACGCAAACGCAAACGCACACACACACACACACACACACACACACACAGTAATACACTCACCAGTCTAACTCTCTTCAGCCTCTCTTCCAGTCTTTCCTGAGCATCTCTCTCTCGGAGAACCGTCTCCAGCCTGCTGATGAGCTCCGCTGCAAACCTCTCAGGCTCTACGTGGATGTCCTTTGGCATGCGGTACGTGCGCTGTATATAGACACAAACACAAAAAAATGACATGCCACAAATTATACACAGCTGAACACATCTACAGATGAAATGTAGATGCCGTTTTAGTAAATTAACGTGTAATAACACACTAACAATATAGTAATTACAATCAATAAAAAAAACAGAAAGATCATAATCGTTTGTTTGTCTCATCAAAGACGATATATGAAAGGTTGGTGTTACCGTTATACTACATGAATACAGATATGAATGCTGAGAAGAGGCCGAGTGAGGAGTGTCTGTGTAACTCACAGGTATATGAGGTAGGGGCACACGTCCATTGGCTTTGGCACTTTCATGCATCTCTTTACGATGCTGCTTCCGATATCTGTATGGAGGAATACCATCTCTGCACGCGCACACACACACACACACACACACACACACACACACACACACACACAC